GAGAGAGAGAGAGAGAATGACACAAAGGAGCAGGAAACTATTTCAATAGCACAGACATCAATTTCTACATGAATAACAGACTGATGGTATAGTCTGTACGTACATTACCTCCTTTGTATTTTTACACTCGATCTTCACTGAATGTTGTGACAAACAATTCATTAATGCTTGAATGTCATAGTGTGTTTTCACTGCCAAACTATCAAGCGGTAGTAACAGCTTATTAACAAACATGTCTGTCTTTTTCGCCTCTACTGCCAGTAGGGGAACAGGATTTAGCTGAGATTAAGATGTTTTATATCCGGAAATGGTGTAAAGGGGAAAAACTTACATCTTTGGGGATAAATGATATCCCTGTACACTAGCCAGAAATCCTGCTAGATCCCCTTTTGCTGTTTTTTCTTTTTCCCAACATGCCCTCTTTCTCTACAAAAGTTCAGGAGAACAGCTTGCTCACAGATAACAAACAAGACAAGAATACTACAGCCGGTGACACAATTTCAGACCTGAAAGAAAGCTAATTTTATTTTTACTTTCTCGTGATGATGGTTTAATCAAAAAATCATGGAAATCTATCTGAGGGTCTTAAGCGTTGTGTATTGTTCAAGTTGTCACAGAACAGGGAGAATGGTAAGGGAAACAAATGTATAGTAGACCAATAACAGGAGATACTTAAGCCTTCTGAAATCCTGCTATAATCAGCACAAAATATTAAGTAATCATTACTAACTAAAATCACAACTAATGAGCTAAGGAAGTCAGCTAACTTGAGCATCAATTAGCAAATATTTTCTTTGTCAGCCTTCTTGCCTTTGCATAACTTTATGGAAATCAGATTTTGCTCATTAGTACTGTATGTAAATACTTAGTCTTTCAAAATCCTACCAGCTTTAATGATGTAGACATGAAATGTGTGATTTTTGAGTTTATTATTATTATTTTAGCCACCAGCTAGCTAGCCACCATTATGGTATAATAATCCTTTGTATCACCCATTTCATTCGCCATTATTTTGGGATGCAAAATGTAAAGTCAGAGAGGCACAGATTGGTGGCAGAATTCCTATAAAGTTTTAATGAAATGGTAATAAAAATGTTCAAAATCAGGTGATATCATATAGTTTAAGCTATGCAACCACCTCAGATGACACATCATTAAACATCTTGCTTGTGTTGTCTTACCTCTGACTGGGTAGCTAGCTGAGGCTGGAAAAGACTGCCACAGAGCCTCTTAAATGAGGACAGGATACATCTATTAATGTAACCACTATTATCTCTTTGGGGACATTGTCATGGAAACAACTGTATTTGTCCTTTATAATTGTTTTCCTTCTTAAGCTAAAATCTCTTTGTTATTGTTTTCAAACCTTCCACCATTCAGTGTGATAATAGTGTATAATTACTGCATGTCATAATTTTAATCAGTCTCACTAAAGTGTTTTGTGCATTTTGAGAACTAAATTTAAAAAAAAAATAATAATAATAATAATAGAGTAGATAGAGTCCATGCTGTATTTTAGCAGTTGTGTTTGTGTAAAAAAAAAATAAAAATAAAAAAGAGAGAAGGAGAGACAGAAAGCATTCTCAGCATTTCATTCATGGCTCAGTTACATAATTTCATTTTTAATTCATTTGTCCTGATTTAATTTTCCAACCCAGCCCAATTAAAAACTTAAGAATAATTTTAAGATTGGTTCCAAATGTCCTATATCTTTGGCTCTTTCTCTCTTTGTCTGCCCTCACCTCTGTCGGTCCCTAAGTGACAGCCTTAATGTGTGTGTGCGTGTGTGCGTGTGTGCGCGTGTGCGTGCCTGCCTGCATGTTTGTATCTTTCTGAGACCCCTTCCCTAATAAGACGCCTCTGTGTGTGTGTCGCACACGTGGCATCAGCAGATCTGCTGAAGTAGGCATACACACGTGCACACCGTTATCCACAAACTGCGAGGCTGCTGAAGCAGTCATGTTGATTCACCGCAGACAGATGCCGTCAGACACACACACACGCAGCTAGAATTACGCTTTAGGCTTGGTTTTCATTAGAAAAGTATTTGCTGGGAGAAGCCATGTTACTGCTTGGTTTTTGTGGTCTGAGTGTGTGTGTGTGTGTGTTTGAGTGCTACCAGTTAATGTGTTCCTTGTTGGCTTTGGCCTGCTTTGTGGCTTTATGAAGGAGGGAGAAAATGCAAAAGAAAGTCTGGGGGAGAGGTAAAAAGTGAAAGTAGGATTAACAAGGAGCAGTGATGGAGAGAATGGTGATCAAAGGATGGAAAGAGGGAGGAGAACACTGCTGGATGGAATGAGTGTAACTGAAGAGAAAATGAAAACATTGAGAAGAGAAGTGAGGGCAAAGGGCAGAAGGTGAAGGGGGTAGATTTGAGGGGTAGTGGCGACAAGAGAGAAAGGGGATAAGAGCCTTAAGGAGAGAAGGGAGGGTGAATGACAAATGAAGTGAGAGAGAAGAGAGGAAGGGAAATGACTTCAGTAGCTGTGAAGCTGACATAACATCACAGGAAAGAGCAGCTACTCCGCCATCTTGTAAAACAAGACAGACAGAATAATAGAGACTGATAGAGAGAGACGGAGAGGCTGAGAAAATGGAAGGGAGGAGAAATGCAATAACATTACAACAGGTTTTTCGGTTTTTAGAGATGAGGAACATGTGGACAGCAGTTTTACTTTTGGAAAGCCAAATTAAAAATGCAGAAGTCAAGGGAATACAGCAATGGAAAGTGTGTAAGTGCATACATGTTAACATGTGTTTCTTTTGTTTCAGTGTCAGATGAGAGCAACGTCGGATCCGTTGGAAACACTGCGGGTAAGGCCAAAACAGACAACCTACACTTGCATATCATCACTGTCGTAAAAACTGAGTGACACTGAAACACACACTTCTACAATTTACTGCCTGATTTTTAAAAAATGTTGAGAAAAGAGACGAAGCAGACAAATATAGAAAAACTAAGAAACACAACCAAAGAACGCATTTATATTGTAGAGTTTTAAAGATATGTATAGTTTTTTTCTGTGAGTAATTATCACAGGGTTTGACGTCAATATATAGTTAGCTCCCTCATTTTTTTTCCTTCCCTTTCATCCAGTTGCATTTTTGTGCCACTTCACTTTTCCTCTTGCATCCTCTGTCTCCTATACACTTGGCTACTCTCAAACTCCCTCTAGAAATACCTCATTGATTTGTTAGAAGTGCAGATGAAAGTAAGATTTGCAGAAGGACTGGAGGGAGAAGAGAAAGGGCGAGACTATGACCACTTGTTAAAGATACGCATAGATGAGCTTGTTCTTAAGGGTATAGAGAGAAAGGGGTAGAATGAGAGAGGACACAGCGGTGCTTCAAAACCTCTCACCTTAGTAGCCTGCACACACTCCCTCTTAAAAGTTTAATGTCAAACTTTTCTTTTTTCGCTTTGCCTTGAGGTCTACCTCATTTCATTTGTAGCTACTTGAATGTAAGAGCACTCTACTTCATTCCGCTATATGTGCGTCTGTCTTGCTGTCTGCCACTTTATTGTTGTCAATCAGTCCAGCCTTTTTCCACATTCTGCTCTGCCTTCGTGTTATACATGGTGGTATTGACTTTTATGTACTGAGTCCATAATGATTATAAAGCGAGCAAGCAAGGTGATATAAGGAGCATAAATGACAAGATATGGAAAGAATGTAAGGCAGAGTTTTAACATTTACTTTATTGGAGTGAAACCCTAATAAAACAAAAGAAAGCCTTCCTCTTTTTCTTCTAACAGCTGAATAGATAAAGAAAATATTATAACTTTTGACTTTTCAGCTTCTCATCTTGGATTTGAAGCTTAAGTGCACCTGTAGTCCAGTATGCTATATGAGCCAGAACTTGGGATGGTGCTTAAATGTGTTCTGGACAAGATATACTGAAGGGGAGGTGCATCTTGTACAGCAAAATAGGATTACTTCAGGGGGATTGAAATAGTAAACATGGAGAGGAAAGGCTTTATGAGAAGAAATAAATAGAACAGAGATACTGTACAACTCTACTGACTCTGGTTGCATATTTGCTGTAGGTTTCCAAAGCAAGGCTTTTGACTGTCAGCAAACTGAATCTGAACATCTGATGTTGTCAGCTTTTATTAACTATGACGACATTTACATGGCCCTGTTCCCTGTCAGAGGACTGTAAAATGGAAAGACCTTGAATAACTGAATTGCTTACAGATGTAAAATGGAATCCATTTCATTGTCAAGTACTTCCTTTGTTTTCCAGTATACTTCTCTCATTCACAGAACTGAGTGAATGACATAGCATGCTTGGGAAATACAGCTGATAATTTGGGTTAGAAAGTACAACTAAGGTATGGGGCATGGCCAAATGAACCTGTAAGGGGGCCCTGGGCCAAGAATTAGCTTTTTGGCTCCTATCAACCCTGCAGGCAAAACTTTATGTAGGAAAATCCACCAAGTGAGCACAATATAAACTAAAATACAATATATAAAGTTCATACAAAAAAATAGATTTTGATAGAGGAACCTTATAAAAGACGAGTGGTGGTGCAAATTCCCAAACAAATGTATGATTACTCAAATAACCAAAAATAACTAAAGTGACACACCTGGAGTTTCAGGGCCCCTGGAAGTCTTGGTAATGCAACCTTGTAAAAGAGGAATACAGGGCAAATTTAGTACATGATTGTATTTTTTTCAGTTTGCTCTCCTTTATTGTGTTGCTCAGTTGGCTTCAGCTTTTTTGATACACCCATCTAAAACATATGCTGCAAACAAAAATAGTTTATAAGGTTTACCCTGTCCTAAAACTCTGTTTTTATTGACTAAAATCTTGGTCAGGGACAGACAACATGGCAATTTCAGCAAGTGCAGTCGAATCATTTTCTTTACTCTTGCCTTATCTGTTATCACTGTATCTGAATTGACCAGAATTTTAGGTTAGTGGTATATGTAAGATGCCAAATGAAAACTGATTATTTTTAATGTGCAAATCTGACCATAGTTTCCAACGTTTTTAGCCCTGTTTTCTCCAGTAATAGGCCCGATGAATGTCTGGTAAAGTCTCCATCTTTTATATCCTATGTTTTACTTGCAGGTTTTATTTTTTTATTTAATTCTTTTTACTCAAGCCTATTTACACATCACTATACCTGTTGCTTGTCAACGTGTCTCCTGTTTTATAATGCCACAGAGCCCAGAGAGCTGTAAAAGAGAGTGTGTGCCTGGCAAGCCCAACAGTTTTTTCCAACCCACTTTCCTTCGCTGTAATGTATTTTTTATAACTGAAATGCTTCCAACAACCCTGTGCTGAGATGTCAGACAGCTGCATGGACTTGAGAGAGGGGGGTTGTGGGGTGGGGTCGGGTCCTGGGAAGTGAGGAGTTTTAAAGACAATGACTTCTGGGAATGCTGTTTTCGCTTCCAGCTATGGTCTTTCCCTCCACACCCCAAGAAACCACTGGGCACCACAAGTGTACACACACACACACACACACACATATATGAAACTATTACCGTTATGGTAATGTTATGGTAATGGAAAGTCTCCATCATCCTGTGGAAAATGTGAAACTCGGAAGATTTCATATTATATTATAATTTTGCAGAATCTAAGATGCAAAGTGACGGAACTGGGGGACCGTATTACAAAGTGTGTATGCATGTGTGGAAACCTTCCCCAAAAGTGAGTGGGTGTGTGTGACTAAGTGTGTTTTTGCGACTAAATGCTTTCGCCGTGTGTAGAGGCTGATGCTGAGTGAATTTTGAAACTCCCTTCAGTAAATAAAAAAAAATACTTGTCATTAACAAACACGTCAAAAAGTCCTCAACTCAGCATTCTGTTATTATAAATATTAGCACAGAATAAGAAAACCACGAGTGTGTGTGTTTGTGTGTGTTGGGCTTTGTGGTCAGACATGCCTGACGTCTTTGTGGTGGTACAGAGAAATGGGACCTCAATCATTCCAATAATAAATCAAATCAGCTGTGGGAGAGGAAAGGCATGGAATACACTTCTAGTGACAGAAGGGATGCTTCAAAGTAAATTACGGTTGGATATCATTCATGTCACTGTCATAGTATACAGCTATACAGACATTCAGACAGACAGTCGTGAAAATGCATATGTAGACTCTCTCCTCAAACCTCTTCAAATTGGACAGTGCAGTCAAACACATACTGCTGACGGGACGGAAAACAATCGGTTGCAGCTGTGTTTCTTTCTCTGTGTTTTCCTTTGGTGATGGGGACAGCCTGGAGCTCTGTGTGTGTGTCCCAGAATCACTGTATTTAGAGATATTTCCTTGGGAAAATAAATGGTGAGTAATGAATATCCACAGGAATGATGAAAAGCTTGTCAGGAAAGGGAGAAAGTGGTGATCCGTGTGTGTCCGTGTGTACAAATGTCTTTAGTTATGGACTTAAAAATGGTTCTTAAATGTGCGTGAGGGTTAGGGTCACTTGTCACAAACCCAGGTACTTCTTAACAAAGCGATGACTGTAAAAATGGTCTCATTTTGTGAAATTATTCTCATTTGTCTATACTTATGACGTCATATTCCCATGCACAAATACAAGTCAAAGTTTTAACGCAGTAATCTCATAAAAAACTCAAAATGGTTGTCTGTTTTCTGTTTCAGTATCTTCGAATTGCCTTATTTCGATTCCTCCAGTCACCACCGGCTCTCTCGGTCACTCTATCTCACTCTCTTTCTTGCCAACGCCATTCAGGCTTAGAGGCTGACAAACAGGCAGAGGAGCTTAGAACGGGCAACATCTCTCTAAAAACGTGTGTGTCTGTTTGTGTGTGTGTGTCACGGGGCCAGTGTGATGCTGAGGGAGACTGGTGCAGGCCATTGTCTGAATCTCTCCCTAGTGGAACTTTGACTTTGACTACGACAGTCACACACTGACAAGACTCTGCCAAAACTGCATCTTTAGAGAGCTGCATCTCCCTATATCCCTCTCTGTGATTGTCTCTTCATTTCTCTCATCTCTCTCTCTCTCATTTTATTTTTTTCCCCCTTTTTGTCATTGTTTCCTGCTCTCTCTGGCTCTTTCAGACTTTGCAGTGGATTTAACCTGAAAGCCACTTTGTTAGACTGATGTGGATTGATGGATTAATTTGTTACAGGGAGACCAGTACATCTTTGTGTTAGCCTGTGTGTGCATGTGTGCAAATGCTGCTTGATGACTCCACACGTTAGCTCTTTACCGTTGTTCTTAGACACACAGCTGAACTCGTGCATGCGTGGGGTTTTTTCTGCTTTTTTCTTGCAAGGTATCTGCCTCTGTCTGATGTGTTTAGCACACACTGACGTTTCATTGTCTTTTTGTGTATACTCTTGGCTACCTCTCTGGATATTGAATGCCCTTTGACCCCGCTCCATCTCCCACAGTAAGCCAATAAAGGTGAGCAGTAATCAGGAGATGGTCAGTGCTGTCGTTTCTTGCTGGTACAGCCATTCGTCTCTATTAGGCTCTACACACTGATCAGTGACATGTACTGTACTGTATATTGTATGATGCTTGAGAGAGAGGGGGAGGCCATTTGTTTCCGTCCTGGACTAATCAGTTACATTCCCAGTGATGGATTCATTTTGGATGAATTTTGTGCCTTTGTGGAAGAGTGTGTATGCTTGAGTGTGTATGTTTGATTGTGTGCATGCAAGTTGCTGTCTCTAGTAATTCTAGTCCACATCTCAAACTAAAGGACGCTACATGTACTTTAGCACTGTTATAAAACACTGTGGCCACTAATGCAAACAGATATTTTAAGTTATTGCTGTTCAATACATTACAGTCAGTGGGAACCAGTAAATACTGACATGAGGCTGATGTCACATGCTTTATGGTAAATGGGCTGTACTTGTATTGTGCCTTTCTTGTCTTCCGGGCCACTCAAAACGCTTTTACACTACACGCCACCTTCACCCATATTCATACAGTGATGTATGACCCATCACAAACAGAAACTAACATTCATACACATTAATCCGGAGCTGTTTGGGGTTGAGTATCTTGCTGAAGGACACTTCAACATGCAGCAGGAGGAGCCGGGGATGGAAGCGGCAACCTTCTGAGTAGTGGTCGACCTGCTCTACCTCCTGAGCTACAGCTGCCCCACAGACTGTTCAATTATTATGGAGCCCCATGGGATAGCAAAACCTCATTTCACCTGCTGGGAGATTAAACTACATAACACGCACATATACTATGTAAGAAACTGTTGCTTTCAGGAACAATCTTCCCTCTACAGCTGAGGATATCTCATAGCAGATACACACACCAGTGCACACACCCTACCCCTTAGTCCTCAGACACATATAGTATATAAATACATAGACAACAATACAATTCTGATCGTCGACACTGTTATGTCATGGCTGTCAAGATATATTTATGTAACACTGTATATGTCCCTTGAAAACTGTCACGGATTGCATAAAAAGAATGGTTTCACAATGCTGTTTTCTTTTGCATAGTGTATTATGCTATAGCAACTGGGTTGGATAATGTCTTTCAGCTGTGATGTTGTGATGTTGCGTTTTTCTCTGGGTTGGAACACAGGGGAACTTCCACTGACAGAACAGTGAGAGAAGATTAATTCTGTCTGGGTGTGTATAATGTGGAGATAGAAAGCAGACATTACGTTGCATCTCCTTATGAGAGCTCCTAAAGTGTGATTTGGTGCACTAGAAGTTGGTGCTGCTGGCTTTGTAGCTGCAGCTTGCTGCTAAGCCGCTCCTTGGTGTAATTTTGACTTTGAAAGTAGCCCATTGCCTTTCTGCCAACAAAATAGCCTTGGGATAGCTTGGCGTTCTGTCTCTTTGTGTTTTGTGTTTTAATTTTTTTTTTTTTTCGTGCTTTCTTCTCTCCTACTCTTTCTCTCTCTCTCTTTCGTTGTCACTCCCATCCTTGCTCTTTCATTCCCAGACTCAGTCTTTTTGTTTTGTCTTTCTATAGCATCCTCTCACAGTGTCTCTGCCAACCCCCCACTCTTGTATCCTCTCCCTCAAACCACTTTGTTACTCTTGTCTCGCTTGTCGTCCTCTCTCTCTCACTCTCTCTCTCTCTATCCCTCTCTTTCTCTCTCTCACTCTCTCTCTTTAAAAGCAGCTTAATTCTATCATCTTACAGTTGGACAGCAGTAATTACATTTATGACACAAATCCTGCTACTCACAGCAAAATACTCTGTGTGTGTGTTGGTGTGTGTCAGTATGTGGATGCATGCTCATCACCCAGTGTTGGTGTGCTTGTAGTTATATATCTGCATTTGTGTGTATATGTGTGCGTACTGTTCATTGCCTGATAACCCAGCCCAACACCACTAAGCTATTCACAATACTCTTTATTTCATCCTACTACCCAACCGTCTGCAAACAGACACGTTTGGACTCTGAGGTCACTGTCTGTGTACATTCTGTGTGCTCTTCTGTGTTCTTAAACTGACTGCAATTGCCCTCAAACTTTGTAGATCCCAAGTGGAAAATGGACCTTGACCCTGGCTCCTTACACTGAATATAAATGAGGAACATCACACGGGTATTTCATATAGAATGTGTTAATCTACAGAAAGCAAGGCATGACTAAATGACTGGCATGTCTGATGTGTACGAATCTAGACATGCCTTTTGAGCCAAAGTGTGCCGGATTATGCATTTATTGTAACTGAAATAAAAACGTCAGATGCTGGTTTAACTTTGAGGGCGCTTGTGTTTGGAGAGTATTGTTGGCAACTGCAAACATGTTGGCTTTCAGGACTCTGATTAGTGTATGAATAAAAGGAATAATACATCAAAAATCCTGGACAATTCATGTTGAGTTTATTAATGCCTGTGGTGGCCTTGGTTCAAATGTCACTGGCAGCTCTAATCCACAGTCCTTAGAGTTTTCTAACAGTGGATTATCTATTGAAATGAGCACATGTATCCGTTCTTAAGAATACACACCACTCTTGGCCCTGGAATAAAAGATTTTGTTTTGCATGCGATATGTCTCTTTAAGAATTGTGAATTTAGGAACTGTGCTCTTTGGCCAATGATCTCAGAAAGTTTTTTTTTCCGAAGTTTGCTTCAGGCTGGTGGCCAAGGGCACACAGTCTTATTATGAAGTTGATTACCAGTAGTCACGGCAAACGCAGATTCTTCCATGCAGTCGTCTTACTTATTATAATGAAGCAATTAACATCCTAACTTACAACATACACAATTTTTATAATATTTGAAAATGTTGCAGTCCTACAAAGACGAACACAAAGCTCAGTGGTTCAAAACTCTGGCCTACACAGATGTGTAGTAAAAATGATCAGTCATGTACTGACATATCATAACAAATATAATCGTACTTTATTCCAAGGTGACATCACACAGTGAGTTATTAGGGTCATAGCTGTTTTTTTTTAAAACTGGAGGTTTTGCAAGATACTAAGCCTGAATTTGATTGAACATTGAACATTGCCTGAAGTTTGATGTTAATGAACAAAAGTGTGTTATTCACTTATGGCCCATTGAAAACCTGTTCTTCCTGTTCTGATTTGCATACAGAAAGTTTCCATTGGGTTTTTAAAATATAGGACTAAGAAATACTTGAAACTGTGTAAATGCTGTAGTATCACTGTCATTCAATCTTAAAATATTTCTGCAAAATCTCTATACGATTGGCCATAGTTTAGAAATTGCATCTGAACCATTGCAGTGTAATTAATCTACACTTTATTCGTATATACATAGTGGGTGGGTGGGGAATGGCATTTTGTGACAGGAAAATAGGATTTACTATTACAACATGTTCCACTTACAAGAAAACTTTTATCTTCCTTATATCTGTTCAGCTGTATCAACGAAAGCTACATAATCAGACTCGGGGGTTGAGTCAATATAGATTAATCACAAAGCACTTGTATCATATTCACTACTTCAGTATGCATCTGTCATGTGGACTGTGTTTATGGATGGGAGTGTCACACTTTATGGCCCTTGTCCATCTCCTCTCACAGCGGCTTACATTATGCATGTGCATACATTCAGTGCGTGGTATTACTCTTTGTGTGTGTGTGTTTGGTTAATGGTTGTTTAAATAGATGTGGAAGTCACATCAGCCCTCTCATCTCCTCTGCTTTTAGAAAAAAAAAACACACACATAAGCACACACACACACACACACACACACACCCACACACACAAAGAGCAGTGGTGTGTATAGGGAATCATTAGCTAAAGTGATGCAGGTTTAGCTATCATGAATCACAGTGGCATCATATCGACAGGCCAGAGCCAGCAAGGAATCCAAAATGTGTGTGTGTAAGGATTACCAGTATTTTGAGCTGGCAGCAAGCCCAGCCTTCCTCCCTTCTTTCCCATTTTTCTCTGTCTCCCTCTCTGACACTGTGGTATTCCCCGGAGGAAACTTAATTTGCTCCCTTCCTGTCGTTTTTCCTCCCATCCCTTTTCTCCCCATCTTGCCCACCATCAGCATCTCCCTGTTTTAGGTGGCAGTCAGTGGCAAACCAAATTGGAATCACACATTACCTTCCCTCGTTCTTTTGTTTCACCATCAGCAATCCCCATGAGTGGTGGGAACATCACAGTGGGCTTGAGGCTGAACTTGGTCCAACTGCAGCAGTCAGAATGTCATTAGCTTTGGCTGTGTTTCCGCAGCAGGACAGTAACAATTGCTAGATAGTGTGTTTAAAAGAGAACATGAAAAGTGTGGCATGCCTTGCTCTTTTTATTGTAAAGCTTCGCCACTTATCTTCACAACATGTCTGATCTTTACCTTACTCTCCATTGAATACTTCCACTATTGCTCTGTCTTCTCATCCATTGCTCTCCTCTTCATCATCCTTTCTGCTGGATCCCTCCCTCCCTCAGTAATATTTTTCACAGTATACTTGTGATGATGGATGGAGAACCAGTAACAGTGAAGCAGACTTCGCATCCATCACAAACTCAACAACAGTATAGTTAACTGCATCGCTGTCTTTTTTTTCTTTTCCCCCCCTCACTCTGCCCTCTAGAGTTCATTGATGTCGCAGTGTTTCTGACTCCTAGCCAGTGTCTCCACAGGCTTTTTAAACCAATCACAGCAAGGCACAGCAGAGTAAACATATTTGACAGCCTTTCTGATACCTTCTGTATCCGTTGTTTGTTGTAGCAGTATTTTTATAGCATTAACACAGTCATAGCCATTTTAGTAGAATCATAATGAAACTATTATACCAAATAAATATACTATCTATTGATAATAAATGTCAGTTCGTGCATTCTGAGGGTCTCAACTGAGGAGCCCAAACCATACCATACCAAGTCAACTGTAGTCTATCTAACAGAAACGTACAGTATTCCTCACCTTTTGTATATCTCTGTCTGTTTTTCTGTGTCTCACCCTGTCCCCCCCCAGCTCCATCAACTCCTATAGAACTCGGACCTACCCTCGGCTTGAAGAAATCCAGTTCGTTGGAGAGTCTCCAGACGGCCATGTCAGAGGTTAACAGAAAAAACGAATTCCTCCCATTCCACCGTCCTCGGCAAAATATGGTCAGGGGAAGAGGCTGCAACGAGAGCTTCAGAGCAGCTATTGATAAATCCTATGATGGGCCACCTGAAGATGATGATGGTAAGTGGAAAAATGTGTCATTTTTGTCATTTGTGTCTGTGTTTTATATACGGTTACTCAGTCTGTAAATTATATTGACATAGAAGAAACAGGGAGATTGCAGGGAAAGAAATGCTTTTTTGGGGTAGAGACAGAAGTAAAATTCAGCACCGAATCACATTGAAACATTTGAGCATGTTTCCATTTGCCCCCCCCCATCCATGATGTCACAGCAGCTGTTTTTCTCTTCACAATTAATGCTAAAAACCTGCTTTGACATCCCTGACTGACGGTTTAGTGACAGGACTACCCTAGGATGTGCATGTGTATATCACTTGATATTTTCCATTCTTTCATTCTCCATGTGTTGCCGTTTCCCAAATGACAGGGATTTGTTTGTATAACTCATATCTAATGGTTTACATATATCTTTAGCGCCTCTACACCCACCTCTTTTATTTTGAAAACCCTCCAGTGAGCTCAGCACAGTTTAGGTCCGCAGTTGTCGATTCTGATTCGTTTAGGAAATAGCAAGTTTCGCCAGCAAAGCAAGACTAGGGCATTGCCAGGAGAACGCCAAGTGTCAGCACATAGGAAACAAAGCCGTAGCATTTTCTTTCAATATGTGATTCAATTCTGATCTGGGCTTTAGCTTTAAATATTTATCCAGGAGCTAAATGGTAGCTGCTTGCTTTGTTTCACTGGAAGGTGCTTTCAATTCCCAGCTGTGTTATTAGCAGCAAACTCTTATCAGTCACCACCAGAGTAATGAGTCGGGCTGTTTCAGATCACTACGCTCACACAGGATAGGACTAATAGGGCATGTCAACAGCACACACACAGTGGCCACATCTGTCACCATCTTTCTAAATGTTTAACACTTTGAGAGCTGCTGTTAATTGACAAGAAACAGTTCTCTGAAGCACCCTGAATGTCTCTTTCTTTCATTCATACACTTTAGCTTGACCTTAAATTACATTTTCACTTCAGTGACAAATTGAAATGCTTACCAACTACTGCCTGTCTGTTTTTAAGAGGTTGATTAGCAGGAAGGCAAGCGTTGCTAACATTTTGGCAGTATAAGTGCACAGTGAATATTCAGTCAGGGTTCATGTGTAGCTAATGCATTGTGCACTGAATCTAGCTAATGCCACAGTGCTTCACAATTTCCACTGAATTTAGTTGTCAAGAGGACTATTCAACAGAGGCTTTGAGTCATTGGCTTTGATGTCTCATGTCAGCTGGGATGGATTATAGTGCTGAATAGTTGTTCCTGTCATTCTCCATGTCTTTTTTCACATGTTGTTCTACCTTTGCATGTGTGTTACTTATGTTCTGTGTTACTCTTTCTCTTCATACTCCTTATGCCTCCCTAATCACACACCATTCCTACAAGTGAATCAGATGTAAACAGAACAAATCTATATCATGGTTGTTTTTGGTGAGTTCTGTGCCATGAAATAGTAAATGAAACACGACTGACTTGGTTGACTGGCAAAATATAAAATATTCCGAAGTTTTATTTTTTGATTTTGTGTTATGGGAGAGATAGTCCAGTGACTGGCTTAATATGACGGCACAGTAAAAAAAAAAAAACATCTTGCTAAACTTCAGGAGAAATTGCTACTTACACGTTACTGCAAACCGCATCCAATTTCAACCCAACCAACCTTGATTCACCAAATTTTCCATTTGGGTCAGAATAAACCAGAGGTCTGCACACATTCAGTAAAACAGATGTAGGGTTTTCCTGACTCTGCAGTTTATTTAAATAACAAGAGGGGAAGAGTGTTTGTTTTTTATAGATAGTATTTGAACTCTGCAACTCTTGACCATCCCGACCATATCCATGATTTTATAGGATATCTGCTGTGGTCATTTTCAGTACATCTTCAGGCAAACGTAATTACAATTCCATTCTGTTGCTAGACAGTCTTTGTAATTAAGACTGAAGTGAATATCCACACAAAGTTAAATCTCAATTGAAGTAACTAATTTGGTCTGCTTATCTTATAAAATCTGACAAGTATTGTGTAAGTAGTGTGTGTGTGTGTGTGGTGTCGGTGTCGTGTGTGTGTGTGTGTGTGTAAGTAAGTAAGTAGTGTGCGTGTGAGATCATTGCAATTCTAGGCCAGGCCTTGAGTCTGTCGGAGAAGTAATGAGGCATCACAGTTTACGCTTTGAACATTTTCGCTTTCTTATTTCTAAGAGTAATTAATTCACTGTAAAGTTAATAAATCTGCCATGGAGATGTCAAGTAGAGAAAGTTTAGCGTTATGTGCATGGGGGCTATTCGTTCGGGGATATGTAATGTTTTGTTTTTATTTGTGTGCTCGTCTTTGTGTTATAACCTGACGTGGTTTTTGCTGTGTTATGTTATGCTGTGGGATTTTGCAAATGTTAGTTGATTTTACTGCTATAATGAGTCACTCTGGCAAAGAGAGCATTAGCTAAATGCCTAAACTCAATGGATATGAGCCACTGGAACTCAGTCTTTACAGAAATGACTTCTTTATGTATTTATGTTAACTTGAAAATTAGAAGGGCACTGATGATTCCTAACAATGCCGAAGACTCAGCATTATGGTATGTAAATACAAAATAATGAGTCCTTACTTACCCTGAACCGGCAGAAAAGAGCTTTGGACAGAAGTGTTTGCCAAAAGAATAAATGAAAATGATTCTTGGGATTTTTAGAATTACATATTAGCCATTTAGCCGTTAGCTGGGTCATGGTTAACGTGGTAACATGGTAAATCCAAATGCCACTATCATTATTCATTGTCCTTTGATCATCTAAGTGGAATTAAGTTTTATTAGAATAATTGTAATCAGGATTTCAGTGATAAATCTTTCATGGTTTATGTTTCGCACTTCTAGCATCTTACAAAAAGTTTATTACTTCAACTTGTCAGGGACATTTGTAAATGTTGATGAATGTGAGTAAGTATTACATTTAATTGAGGTAACAAAATCGAACAAAGGAAGTAAAAACACCCAAATGCAGTTGTTTTCTTTACTACTACTTTTTCTACTCTTTAAAACACAGTTCTTCACAGACACAATTCCCATCTTTCTCCTTTTCTTCTTCTGTTCCCTACAGATGATGGTTCGGAGCCGAGTTCAGGCCGGGACACCCCTGCCAGTAATTCATCCCGCCAGGGAGTTGGGGATCGGATAGAGGAGAAAGGCAAAAAAGACAAGAAAAAGAAAGCGAAAACAAAGAAGAAGGAAAAGAACAAGGGGAAGGGAAAAGAGAAAGAGAAAGAGAAAGAGAAAAAGAAAGCAGAGGAGCCTGAGGAGACGGAGAAGAAGAGCAAGAAAATAGGCTTTGGCCTACTGAGGTTAGTAACTGTGTGCATGTGAGACAAAGACAGACAAAGAAGTTGAGGTGATTTTTTTTATCACTGGTCTTAAGCATGTATTTGGTCATGATCATACGTATACTACCTGGTAAAATAAATCTTTTTCTTCTAAAGATGTTTTTAAGTTTGAAAGCAACCATTCCAATGATAAACAGCAATATTTAGTTTGGTCTCATATGGAATCCAAAGTCTGTTTCTTTCTACATGTTTTTACATTTTAATATGAATACCATATCCAGGTACTCACAAATAATATAGTCGTTATATGCTTAACATGTGACTTAATTTTCCGAGTGGTCATTAACAGGTTAACCCAAAAGGGCACATAATTCAATACAATCTGTGCACACCTCATGCATTCATACTATATCAGAAAAAAATAACCCTTAAACATGAACACTGAGGTCTTTTTTTCCGCTCATGAAACACTATCACATGCTCACAGGCACACAAAGACCACTCTAAGAGTGGTGCCCCAATTTCCCTAAGAGGTGTGGAAATTATCTGTTGGAACTATTTCATGTGATTAACTTTAACACTATATCTTCCTGTGTGAATAGGACATAGTTAGTTATGAATGGGGCAAAGTGTTTCGATGAACAATTTGCGCTTTCTACCTTAATCCTTACTTAATATCAGGTTTTTTCTCCATGTTTGTTTCTGAAATGGGATTTCACATGACCATTACATCGATACAGATCTACAGAAAAACACTTGCATGCAATTTTATCTACAAAATACAGGCGCAGTCTTTTAAAATACACTTACAAAAGCAGTCTGTGTGAACCAGAACACGGAAAAACACTTCCAGATTTCAAAGTCAGATTTTATCACAGTGATTAAATCTCAGAATTGCATGTTATTTAAAGTGAAATATTAGGCAATTAGACTAATATGTACTAATTTTACTTGATTCTTTGAAAGCCTCCACCTTTTTCTTCACCTATTTTCCAGCTTGTTTTCCTCACTTTAATGGGCTTTCGCTCTCTCTTATACTTATAGTATTTAGCCATCGTCTTATGTTGAAGAGAAACATTTGTTTTCTGATGTTAAAATGCTATATTTGTCATACAGTTGTGTGTGTAAATGGCTCATTATACCTGGATGGGAGGGTGGATAGAAATAGGTATATGGTGTGTACGGTACAGTATGTTCCTTCCTTCTTCACCCACTTATTGTTTTTGTAGTTTTAGTTCAGTGTTAGACCTACAGTACCTACTGACTTAAATACCCGCCTCTACTGTGCATCTCTTTCAATTCTTCCTGAGGTGAAACCCTTTAGCCACTTCAAACCATAATTGCACAATGTGCAACTTACAAAATTGTTGTCAGTTTCATTAAATGGCCATTAGAGTCCTTATTCTTTAAAATGACATTTAGCTTTATTACACAATTCTTCAAGCCTCACAAGAAAGAGAGACCTTGTAACAAATTTCCTTTTTTCTTGTGATAAAAATACTGAAAACAGTCCATAACAAGGTCTGTGGATTATTTTGGGTTTTTTCTATAAACAGACATTGCTGTTGAGTTTTTCTAAATAAATTTTGCAATGCATCACACCACATTAGCTCCATTTTATTCCATTGTCAACTGACACCCTGAAGCAAGTGAAAATAAGTGAAAATTGTCCGCATGGCAACACCATCAGTGGTAAGTCGGAAAATATTTGTTTTTATGAATTGGGTGAACTGACTTTTAAAGTCAATATAAATCATTCCAAGCTTCAACCGCAGTTCAACTCAACTTGAGAAAAATGGTCCATTACTTATAAAAGCATGATAGATCTAATCTGTAGGTCTGTTGCCGTCTATTTAAGCAACCTTAACATCAAGAGAACAAGAGATGGAAAGATATAATAAGTGACACAACAGAAAATACAATTTATATAAACATATGCAAGGCACCACTACTTGTAGCAGGGGAGAGAGCTGACGCAGATGGAGCAACAGATCCAGCAGAAGCCCAAGCGCCTCACAGACGTGTAACTCTTTACATTAATCTGACAGCAGTTTAACATTTCTGAATAAGCTCCCTTGGGCATTTTTATGTGGCCAGTCTGATGCCTATGGTCTCCACTGCTGTTGTACATTCTGGTGGCGCACAAATGAGCGTCTGAAAGTGCTTCCCTCACGCTCACTGTGGTTGGTTTTACGGTAAGTTTTAAAATCCATAGTTGATTCAGATGAATCAAAACTAGCTTATTCCTTGCTGCCTTGTTTATCCCCATTATTACATATTCCAAAATAGTACACATATAAAGACGTTCTGTGCTTCGAAGTTTAGATGCATTTCAAGACAGTCATGACAGGCGATTAGGAGCATAGATTTGGTGTAGATTTTGACTCATTCTTGTCCTTCGTGGTCTTCTTCCCAGTTTGTGTTTTGTACCGTTAGCGAGGACTAATATGCAAGCTATGTATAACCAATGGATCTTTGGTGGCACAATGTGATATATTCTTATAAATTCACACATTACATACCCGAGGATTTCCATCATTCCTTCTCCGCCCCCGTCTTTCCCACAATTCTCCTCCTTTTCCATTACAGCTTCAGGGCAATCTATGACACACCTAAAGATATCTTTTTTTTTTTCACCTCCTTCACCCCTTCACTCTCTCTTACCATCTTAGCAATGTTTTAAGTGCTTCAGAGTTCAGGGAAGGTTATGCCTGATTCCTTCTTTCTGTGCTCACCCATCTCTTTTCTCCCTATCTACCGCTCAGTTTGATTATGGTCTGGACAGCCTACACAGCACAACCGAGAATATCTACAGTTCAATCCAACCACTTCCCTGCACCTATCCTTCCATCCATCCTTTCATCTAACCCCAAGTTCCCCCATCACGTCTTGCCTTAAGTGCCTTAAGAAACCATATAATACACCCAAGGATATATTAGACCTTTCCTCTGCACCCCATCTCTCATCACCATAAGAGGGCCTTGATTAGAGCCCAGTTATAATTTCACCCTTTTTCTCCTTCCCCTCTTTCTTTCCATACTTCTGTAACCTCTCTCCGTTTCTCTACCCCCCCCCCTCGCACCCCCGTAATCTTTGCATCATTCCAATTTTTCCTCTGAGTCTGCTCCCTCCAGCCCCAGCTCCCCATCTGCATTTGATTGCATGTAATGGTGGTAGACTGAGAAGGCAAATTGGTGCTATTCAGTACAGTTCAATCTAGGCCGAGCTGCTGATTTGTCATATTCATCTAAGGCCAGCTTTGATTGGCCTAATGGCCTGGAGGAGAGGTGGTTTGAGATACTCAGCCTTACTCCAAGGTCTGTGGTTTCACAGTAGTACATGTTCATTTTTATCACTGGTTGGTTCACATATTTGACACACAAGATCTCTATACCAAATACTACATTATGTTTCTATCCAGGCACCAGCTCCAAAGACACACATTCATATTATTGCTATAATTTTCCAATAGTATATGTATTACTTATTGTACTGTAGTACTCTCTTCACTCTTTTTTTCAAATTAAATAGTAATTGCCAAAAAGGCTGGATTACAATTTACTTTTTCACATTAATGAAGAGAGGGTGTAGAAAGGTTTAATGTAATTACTGCAGTGTTTCATCCACATGGTGAACCCAGACATTAAAGTCAGACTCTGAATGTTTGTTTGAAATGCCCTTTAAAATGGACAGCTGGCTCTGTCATCTGAACTGCTGCCACCTGCCAATCAGATATGCCAATCATCTGTGTGTGTGTGCCTGTGTGTGTGTGTGTTTGTGTGTGTGTGTGTGCGCGCATGGTGGTAACCATCCTTCCATCATGAATATTCATGTGGTGATAAAACACGATTGGTCACACAGTCAGATGGTTGTCATACAGTTGGCACATGGTTGCTGTGAATCTTCCTCAGACACCGTGCGTGTGTGCATGCATGTTGTCTCCAAATTTTCTGCAGTTGTGTGACCCGTTGTTCCTCTCAGATCTGTGTATCTTTTCTCTTCCTTGCTCAGACATCTACGGTTGAAACAAATCTGGCAACCCTCTGAACATTCATATTGCACCCGCCACATACCTACTACCATAACTTAACGCTCTACAAACATAATTAACATGGGTTGAGAGTATGGTTCTCCGAGCTGTTCTGTCATCTGTCTGTCTGTCTGTCTGTCTGTCTGTCTGTCTGTCTGTGTTGTGGTGTGTGTGGAGGGAGAGAGACGGCCTGTACAAATGAAAATATGGTAATCTATTAGGTGAGACTGGGAATGTACAAGATCTACCAGAAGAGGGACTGGCGCTGCTGTTGCGAGTGCATCATGTTTATGTGATTGTTGATTTGTGTTGTAAAGTATGTGTACATGCTGTTCATTTTCAGATTTAAAATGGTGTGAATTTATGAGAATCTATGATAATAAATGCATGGTTGCCTATTTGGTTGTAATCGCGCACTGCTGTACCTCCATCTATCCTCCGTTGCTCTGTTTTGTTCGCGGATATGTGTGTGTTATTGCATGCGCTCACTACGGGCTGAATAATCTACTTTCATAAGAAAATGTTGAACATAGAATGTAGCCACCAACCAAAGCTGTATGAACAGGAACAAAAGCACAAAAACCTAAAGTTACAATTACAGCACCCTCTATTTCTTTGATTCCACACCCTTTCTTTACCTCTTCTATAACTACATTCTCCTCGATATTTAGCCCCGTTTTCCATCTATCCCTCTTTTCCTGTTCTCTCTCCAGCTGGCTGATCATAATGTGGCACCTCTGTTAGACTCAGAGGGCTCCATTGTTGGGACATTAGCCAATCTTCATGGTGAGGGTTCTTTTACCGGCCATGGCAAATATCTACAATATCTTTTTTTTTTCCCCTTCTCTTTATTCAAAGAACAAAATAATACTAATGATTGCATTATAGAAACAGTATTTCATACTATTTATATATGGAAACATATAGAAAGATCACAAAACTTAATTACAAAATAAAAGAAAAAATTAAAAATAGAAAAAATATATACTTATATAGTTTAGAAGAGAAATGTAACTGTCAGATGAGATGAATATATTTCACAGCCCTTTTGATCAGCTAGCATATCAGTCTGTTGTGTCTGCTTTTCATCTACATAGCAGTGAAACAACATAGTCAGGTTTGGGTAAAGGCAAAGCAAAGTTTGTGCAAAAATGCTGTTTCAAGTTCTTTATGCAGGAAAAACCTTGTCTTTTGACCAGACATTGCCTGTCATTGTTTCATAATTAGACAGCACATGCTTGAAAAGGGGGGAAGGGCCCACCAGCTGCCAATCAAACATCATGACAGGAAGTCATTGGGGTGTCACAGACTTATGTCATGCCTGCCAATCATCTGTGCGTGTGCGCTTGCATTTGAATGTGTGCTTCCTTACGCAGTGTCTGTCTTCTTACATGTATGTAATTGTCTAATTTCTCAGGGATCTATTTGCCAATGATAGCAAAGGGAGGTGTGTCCGTGGAGTGGCAGAGGGAGGAAGTGAGAGAAGAGCAGAAGAATAGAAAGAATAGGTGAAGTGGGAGTCACAGATGTTTGCACTCGTTTTCTGCTCGTTTGTCAGATGCTTTTCTCCTCATGGACTATTCAGAAGCACAAGTGTGAAACAGCCCTCTGAACACTCACTGCTCATCATTCCAAGTAGCACGTCTGTGTACATGTAAATGTATCTGTGTGTGTGTGGGTGTGGTGGTCATAGTTGTTTATTGTCAGAACCTGTTTTAGTTTTATACTCATGTTTTACCAAGCAATGTCACCCTGGCCAGTGCTCATCTAAAAATGTTTGGTTTAAGGTCAAGATTAGAATAGGTGCAGGTTAAATCATCAATCATCAATTCTTTCTAGTGCTTTCTACACACAGAAATCAAGGTTTTAAACAAGCATATAATTTATGATAAGCTACACCTGTCTTTGGCAAACTAAACTGAACTTAAAGTGACTCTTTCTGGCCATCTGCGGTGATGTGTGCAGAAAAGTTTTTGAAATATTTGAACTTTGTTAAATGAAGCTGAATCTATTCAATTTAAGAATCTATTTAATTTCTTTAAGAGTACTGGCTGGGAACAGAGTGAGAGAAGTTTAGCCCTCCTCTAGATTTTGCAATGTAACATCAGTAAGACGTTAAGAGGATATATTTTGTACAGATTTAGTGGTGGTACAACAATTTGGTAGCTCAACAAAATCGACCATGAAAAGAAACAATAATTCCCAAAGAAACCTTTTTTTCGTCCTTGGTCAGACATCGGACTTGAATGATTGAATGTTTTCTTTTCATCCTACCTTTTCCTACAGATGGAAGCTTTAAGAAACCTGGGTATATATTTATAATTAAATCTTTCTCGAATGCAAATGAGTAGTCATACACTTTCCATACAGATTGCGGTGTTAGGTCATGAATATTCATGAGTGATCATTCTGTTCCTACTAATGACAGAACAAGAGGTAATTTATTCATCCTAACTGGCTGTTAATCAGCTGTTCTTACTCTGATGTTCCTTAAGAAATTATGCCCAAGCGATAATGATGCAACTTGTAATTTTTAAAACATGTTCTAGATGTCCAGGCTACATATACATATGTGTGTATGATGTGCCTGTTAAACTCTAACTCCACTCTTTAGTAATGCATCATAAAAAAAAGAAGCAAAAAACAACTTGAAATAGAAAAACAAGGACAATTATTCTTACCTCCATTTTAGTTTTTAAATGCTGTGGTGACACTTAGCTAATAGTTTGTGATTTAACTGCTCAACACAAAGGTGTAGAGAGAAGGAAAAGGTCAAGGGTGAGTGTCATGACATCGCAAGGGAGGCAAATTTACTTCCCATTTACTTACGTTTTCTTGTTCTTTTCTCTCTTTACTAATGCGTGCATGTACAAAGACAAAGACGCTCAGCTGAGTATTGACCCAGTCACCCTCTGTGCTCAGCCTGAAGGCAGAGGCAGGAGACAGACTTTTCTCTTCTTTGTCTTTCTTTGATTCTTTCTTTTCCCTGTGATGCCGTGGCATCTCAAGTGTGAAGCCTTCTATTTATATTACTTCCTCCCTCACATGCAAAAGGCCACATGCACACACAGAAAAACACACGCACATGCACTTTTTTATTTGATGTATATCTAAGTCCTCTGTGATTCTGATTATATATAGTGTGTATGTGTGCATCCATGCATGTTGCCTCCCACGATAGCCCAGTTATAAGTTATCAAAAGAGTCTGAAGAGAGAGAGAGTTGGCCTAATTAAGCTCTAGGTATCCATTATCTTTGTACATCTTTCTTTTCCTTCTGTACCTCATTCACCGTTATTTTTCTTTCTATTTGATGCTAAATGTAGGTAAATCAAACAGAGTTACAGATGGTTGCTTTTTTATTTAACGAGTCTTGTTCATCTTCACTATGAAACTTGACCCCATGAGGGAAACATCCTCACAAATGAACGCAAGCAATTAGTTAGGGAGAGAAAGAAGGAAAGGTTAAACGCATTAGTTACAATTTGCACTCATTTCCAAGTTGAAATATATGTTTTTGTGTACCCTGTTACTTTTCTGTATCCACCGATTTTCCATAATTAGTCTAACATCCACATATAAAATATATTGCTATTGGGTTAGTCTCGGGGGTTAGTATTAAGAATTAAAAAGCCAAATTCATGGATCAATATTATTGTTAATCTTAATCATTCATTTTAAAAACACAAGTGTATTTATTTACTCAAGCTCATCAATCTTCCCCTCGTAAATGAAAGCAATTAATGGCCTCTTGTCATTAGATTAACAATGTTATTATGTTTGATTGCTTCATGTGTCATAACATGTTACAGATATGGCATTAAAGTGGCATCTGATTTCAGTATAGTCCAAAAGAGGCCCTGCATTTGGCCTTTGGATACATCTGGGGCTGTTATTCATCTCTCATGTCTCAAGTTTTGTCTTACCTTTCTCCATCCATCTGCGTTATAGTTTTTCAGTTTATGGGTTTTGGTAATTGGCTTTTCTCTGTAAACATTGATGAGTGTGTAAGGTTAGGTTTTAAGATATTTTGACTCTCAAGTGATACAAACTATATAAAATCCGGCCTTAGCCTACATTTATTTTTCATCTTTTCAGTATCTGGCAAGAGGGGAAACAGGTATGACAGCATAGAAGAGAGGAAAGGAGGGGATGGGAGAGGTTAAGTGTTCTGAGAGAAGTGTTTGATACCGAGGGGCGACATGCCAAATGAGACAGCGAGATGAAGGGGGGACGGGGAGTTAAGATAGAAAGAGGTAAGTTAGAAAGAAACAGAAATGAGTGTAATGAGAAAAAAGGAAGAGAGTGATGAGGTAAGAAAAAGGAGGTGAAAGAGGGGTAAGTGGGGGGAAGAGAGAGAGTTGAAGGAAAGGGTAAGCCTCTAACTCTGTCGGTAGTAGTAATTAGAGCAAGGCTTGTCCCCTGTGAGGCAAAGACACACTCCCACTGTTAATGCATGCACACGGTTACAGCCCTTCATTGCCCATTGAGCCCCCCCTCTGTGGGCGGTGAATAGGCTTCTTTAGCCCCCAGTCCACATTAAGAATTTCAAAGAAACATATTACCTTAGTGCACACACACTACACCTGCTTTTTTTTAAAACTACAGCAATGCACAGACATACACAGGCTGAACTACAAACATTCACCAACAGATCTACACACTTTTGACGTTGTGGAAGTGTAGACAAAAAGAATAATACATCAATAAATTCCCTACATAAATAAAACATAAGGAGTGTTATAAGGTCACGGTTTGCATGTCGGAGATATTAACTATTTAGCAGGTTTGAGTGGCTCAATTAACCATATCCTGCTTACTGTATCGCTTCTGGGGTGTAAAGTTTAATGAGCAGTAATGTTGAATTTTTACTTTAGCTATAAGAGCTTATATAATGTTTAACCTTTGAATGGCTCTTGATAAAGAAAAAACAGATATGAACACAACAGTACTGATTTCTCACAACGCTGTGCGTGTTTCTCTCACTGCCCTATAGACACAGATCCACAGATTCACCTGCAAATGCTTTTGTCTCTTTTGTGTCCGCAAAATCTGAAGCCACTATGGTTCATTCACATTTAGTTATGAAGTTTAGTCAGGTGTGTGCATTTGTGCGTGATTCATGCTCTTCTCCAGGTAATGACTTGTCCAGTGTCCAGTAGTGCTGAGTGTGCTGTTGATGCTGACCACACTCCAACTGTATTGACTGGTGTGGTTTGAGTATTGATATGTGGCCACTTAAAATGGGCCACATTTTTTTCATCGTTTGTATGCCATCTTTTAATTTAGATTAAGCTGTATAGAGTACATACAGTGTTAAGTGAAGGCTTTTACATATAGTCTCCCTCTATCTAAATTATGGAACTACTTATATGCATTCTCAATCTCAAAGAGGAAGTTTTGGGAGCCTTTCAATTTAAATGTGGATTCACTATAGTGTTATAGGCTAAAGGGTTGAGTTTAGCAATGGCAGCTGCTTTCAATTATGATATCTACCACAACTAGTTTTAAAAGTAAACTGCCAAGAGAAGCGGTGCAGGAAGAGGTTGAGTTTGATTTCTCCTTGTGTGTGTGTGTGTGTGTGTGTGTGTGTTTCTTGCTATGTATGTGTCTGTCAGTGAGAGGTGAGAGAGTGTCTATTGGTCTTGACTCTGATTTACAGGCTGTGCTAGAAGCTCTCTCACTGAATAACACAGTGTGTGTATCTGCGTTCATGCCACTGCGTTTTGCATGTCCATGATTTCAGCCATGTGTGTTTGTTGTAAGGATGGTGTTAATGTGGTGTTTATTCCTCATCTGCTTACCAGCACCACAACCCACTGAAGGCTGTAGAAACCCCCATACAGAGTTATGGAATTATTATGTTTTTCTTTCTTATTGTTTCTAATAACTGCTTCTCTCTCTGTCCAGATTCGGGAAGAAAAAAGAGGAGAAGAAGGAGGCGAAAGCAGCTCTGCAGCGACAGAAGTCAGACATTCTGAGTGATCATGAGCTCGAGAGGATGAAAGATGAGAGGGAAAGGTGGGGAACTTTCTTGAGATGAGATGATGATGATGATTTTTTGGTGCTTTAAATTCACAGACTGTTACTGATACTAAGTTTTCTTGTCATTTCTCATTGAAGAAAAGTCCGTAACCATCTTTTGTTTTCCTCCTCAGTTAAGGATGATTGTTCACTTATAATTCTCATGGAACACATTGAAACCACTTTATTAACATCTCTACCATTCCTTTCTGTTATTGCTCCTCATTCTTTCCATTCCCTCTATTCTCTCTCTCCCTCTCCACTCCATGCTTGTCATTCCTGAGCTCTATGCTAACAGCGTGCCTCTGTGGGGTTTGTTTGAATATGTTTCTTTGTGGTAGACCTTGTTGTAACCCAGTCTTCATTTGCCCACTTACGAAAACAGTTTTTCATCTGTCTGTCAGAATTGAAGCCGGGCACCCTGAGCTGCGAGAGCACCGGCCCAGAGACCAGCAAGTAGGCGGCGGCGGGTCGGCATATCCAGATGTCGAGGATGATGACGCGGACCCCAACTATGCCCGAATACAATCCTTCAGGGACCGAAATATGGGTCCAATGCCACAGCCACTGTCTCAGTCACCCCCGTACAGCACAATTCAGCACACCCATGCCCGCACCCCTTCCCCCCAAGGCCCTTCTGCCTTTCCAGGCCATGGAATACATGGTAACGACCCTGTAGCAATGCCTGATGATGACCCCCTTGATAGGCTGTATGCCAAGGTCAACAAACCAAGGGGAGCTGGGACAACATCTCCTCCTGTCTCTGCTAATGCCAATGACAGGTAAGGCACCATGACCCTTCTCTGACCAGTTATTATTAGTGTTTTTCAGCAGTGTTGGTTCAGTAGTTTGACACATAGTGGCACACAAAACAAATGAAATTTTAAGCCTCGAAAATATCTTATAAAGTATACCAGGCCCCACTCCTGGAGGTAGGCCTGGGAGGAAAGCTCCCAGGTTTCTGCTCCTTTCCTCTCTCATCCCTCTTCAGTTTCATGGCGCAATATTATCTTGCTGATGCTTCATATTTCTCCCTCTCTTTTCACCTCAGCTGTCTAAATCAGGTTTATCTGCCACAAGCTAGTTTGTGTGTGTGTGTGTGTGTGTCTGTGTGGTTGAAAGCAAGAGACAGACAGACAAAAAAAAAAAAAAGATTGAATTGTTTGTGCTTGCTTTGAGCTTCAATATGAGTGCTTGTGTACTCACTTGCCTATTGACATACATACTGTGTGTGTGTTGTGTGTATTCCAGCGGTGGAAAAAAAAATCACTGTAGGGTTCAATGTGTTCCTCTCAGCTCCACAATCCTTACTCCTTACCTTTATTATGTCAGTCACAGCTCACTTACCTCTGAATATATCTACCAGTACAGATATTCTCACACACAGACACACATCCGCCTTATTTCTGTAACTGTCTTCATGCAAGAAGTAAATCTGTTTGATGGACAGTTCCAGGCTTTATAGGGATGTTTTCTGACACTGTGTCTTTCTCATATTGTTTCCGATCTGCATAAATTGTGTTTTATTATGGAAAGTCAAAACTGATTTGACCTTGGCTTCTAGGCTAGACTTCTAGATTTTTATTAGAAGTAAATTGCCAAATTTTTTGTCAGTGTCCAAGGGGATCAAGTTCAAACCTTAGTTAAGTTTTAGCCAATCCAATACTGGGATATAAAGGCAGTGCTAGGTTCTTCCAAAGCTATACTAAGGTCAAGAGGGAGACACCAATGTCTCAAAGTAAATATAAGTAAATGCTTCAACAAGTATAATTTGGATTATGTAAGTATTTGTAGTTTGCTTGGGCTTTAAAGGTGCAATTCATTATTGTATGTACAGCTAAATATGTTAATCTCAGTAGACTGAAATATTTAATATTAAAGTATTTTGGTATGTTATGAGCTGATGTTTCAGTTTATAACATTGAAAGATACTACTACTTTCTTCAACAAACCTATAACTAAATGGATCAATATGGATCTGGCATGGGCTTTTCCAAAAGGTGTACTTGATCTCAGTTGTTGACACATTTTAATTTGTGGCTATTCAGTTTAATTTATTCAATATTTATTTAGTTTTGCCATCTATTCTCTTCCTTAAAAGAAGAATAATGAGTGCAAGGATGTCTGGATTTTGGAAACCTATATCCATGGCCGCAGCAATCCTGGCAGATAGTGCTATTCATTTATCATCACTTCCTGAAACCTGATGATGCAGACAGGAGGAAGTCCAGGTATTGGCTGACAATAATCGATGGTGCCAAAAAAAGAAGGTAGTGTGTCAGCGGTGTGTGTGTGAGGTGTGCAGTGTGAGGCCAGAGCTGCGGTATGCATGTGGGAGACAGAGATAAACAAAATCGCTATGGACTCCATTCCATCAGCACCTCAGCGAAGCACACTAATGTACACACACACAACTACATATACTCACAAATGTACAGAGTTGTGTTTCCATGCCGACTGAAAATAAGATTTTCACTTCATTATGCTTGATTTTGATTTGGCTGCTACCTTCACTTTAATGCAAATTATGGTAGCATTAAGAAGTCGATATCTTCTTATAATTCAAATAACTGTCTTTCATCTTAAATTATTTGTTTTTTTTTCCTTTAATTAATAAATCTGATTATACCACTATGGGTTTCTTTCAATAGTGCCACCTTTAATTTCTGGTCAGTAACACACAGTGGAACTGATTCTGTATCAGCTTTTTTTTTTATTGCCTTTGCTCGCCCATGCAGTCTGCTCTGTAAGTACTTGTGCACCTCCACTAATTTTAAAAGCCCTGATAGTGATTTTACTCTGGAACTGGAGTCTGAGGCCAACCACTAAAAAAAAAGCTCATAAATGCAGACACTATTCTTTCATATCTGCTACGATGAATGTGTGCTCAGTAATTGAACATAATGCTTGAATCTGTCATCTGAGTCTGTCTGTTTTCCAAGGAAGGATTCACATAAACAAGTTTTTTACACAACAGTTTTGTCGTCTTTGCAGTATTTCAGACATCATGTCAGTTTCTTCAGCCACCTGACAAGGGCAGCAGTGTGTGGCAATTTATATAGGTCTTTAAATAGTCAATTATATTCTCCAGCACACATTTATGTGCCTGGCTGCATGTGTGCATTTATGTGTCTATGTTTGGTAGTATTTTTTTATCAGAGGTTTGCTTTAAACAGCTCTATTATGGAAGGGCAGTTATTTAACCACACAGCACAGTAATATATAACACTGTCTGCGTCTCAACCAGCCCACCACCTTTAATTCTAAAGGGCACAGGCAGCTCAATTCCTTATGCATGGGAGAGTTTAATGCAGTCTCATTTAGTAAACCCATTACACACACACCACACATTTGGTAAAGATATTTGGTAGAAGAAGCACACACCCACACACACTCACACAAGCCCAAATAATCTACTGTATCACTTTTTCATCTTCCTGCCTCTTTCCACAAAGGTAAGTATTTCTTATGTAATTTTCCCTTACATAAGACAACGTCCATAATAAGGCATCTCATTTTGAAATGTGAAAACAATGTGTGTCCGCAGCATTTTAATTTCAGTTTTAATTTCTGTGCTCCTGCACTGAGATATCACAGAGTGTGTTAGAGGCAAAAGAAAGTTGTCTTCCTTTATATACTTGCTTATGTCATCATCTCCACATTTATATACTTGTTTTCTCTGAAATCAAGATAAGTTGATGGAGTGCTAAATTGGAGAGAAAAAATAAGTGTGGACATTGTCTGTGATTCTTCTGGTGTCCACCCTCCTGCAGCTCCTCTGCCTGTCTTCCATCTCAGTACACAGATGGACATATTGGAGGGCCTGAGTGGCTCACATAGCGAAGGAAGTAGCAGGGGAACCAGGGTGGGAGAGAGAAAGTATGCAAGCAAAGGAGCTCTTCAGAAGATTTTCAAGTGTAGAGCAGGATTATTTGCCCACCATCTGCACACACACACATGCACACTATTTCTCTCACTCCCTTTCGTCCTCTCTCTACAACTATTTTGCGCACTAACACTTAGCTGCACGTACAAAACTGAGGTAGTTAGGATGTCAAACACACAGAGAGTCCATTTTCTGAAGTGACCACCCAAGCCTTGCATGAGTGCTGCCCTCCGTTTTCTTGAGTGGGTGCCCCCTCCCACCCTCACCCAACCACTACCACCACCACCTAACCCTTCCAAGTGCCCCTTGCAGGTTACCATAACAACCACGACCTCTGGCACTCCACCAATTAGAAAACAATCAGCCTGGAGAGAACAGGGTGGAGTGAGCTTGAGAGAAAGAGAGGTACTGTATTGCATGAGAGAAAGATAAGTAGAGAGCAAATAACATCAAGAATGAAAGACAACAAAAAAGAACCCGAGTGGTACATTTATTTACACAGAGAACCATCTAACCAAAGGAAATTAATAGCACAATGGAAACAAAATTTTTTTATCATGAAGGTCTAATGCTGTCCAATGCATTGGCCTTGCAACAGATATGCAGTATCAGACAGCTATTGATTCAACCCTGGAATCTTTTTTGTCAATGTATAATATACTATATTACATAGTAAGATGTAAGTAATACAGTTTTCAACCTGCCTGCTGGAGGCAAAATGTATGAGAAGCATACACATTCACAGTATACTGTAGTGCATTCTATATACTGTATAAATAAATAAACAAATAAGACCACGCTCAAGATGACAGTAGCTCCTCCTTTCAGTGATATTATCAACTTAAACTGAATAATCAAATGCCGGATTGGTAACACTTACAAAATGTTGCCACTTATTTAAAAAAGACAAAGTTGCTGCTTTACTGCACTCTTCCTTATTTTTGTGTGTGTCCTAAGGGAGGATAAATATGTTTGAAGTGAGTCTTTTCTTCTTTATAGCAATCCACAAGTGTCCTTGTAAGATACTAGTAAGTGTAACACAATGTACGATATAGTGTAGAGGTGGCTAGGCTTCTTTTGACAGCCAAAATTCTACGCATTGAAAAATGTGTTGCTTTATAAACTATATACAGAACATATTTAAGCTTGCATATATAGATTGCACTCGTCTTACTTCAGAGTACACGAAGAGAAAAAAACATGCTCTCCTAAAATTTGAGTCAGAATGATGAAATGGAGACCAAGAATAGAGGCAGCTCGTACAGGAGAGATGAGCTTTTAGTATTGCTTGGCTGGTCACTGGAGAGGCTTTCTTTCCTCCATGTTAATTAATCAGACGTTGTGTGCCACACGCACGCACAAACACACCTTTTTTTATTATAGAGTAATACATACTGTGGAGGGAGCTTTTAGTGGGTGCCAGGTTGGTCTTTGTGAGTGCTGTTTTTGACATCACTATCTTCTTGTAGGTAATTAGTTTTGGTGTGGCTGGGGCTGTGTGTGTGTGTGTGTGTGTGTTTGGGGATGTATCTAGCTTTCGATAATTACACGAGTCGGTACTAATAAGCATTAAAGCAAATAATATAAGTCACAAAATACAGCAACTTCAGGCCTAATTTGTGAAGATTTCTGTCATGTTTTAGTCAATTATACAAGGATCTAGTGTCTCTTTGTGACCTCCACACACGTAACAAGACCGTGTTTTAATTTTTCTGACAAGTCACATGCAATTAATGACTATCCTGTCCACAAAAACAACAGCTCTGTTTTTTGTTAAAGCAACTTCAAGCAGCTTATCCCATCTCCTACCAACTGTTGGTTTTCTAGACAATCTTTGCCTGATCTTTAATGTGTTAATAACTAGTTTAACTTATCTAAATTTTAAAACAGCACTTC